CAACGCAGGCCATGTCTCAACTCGCGTTGCACCAGACCGAAAAGCCGGCGCCTAAGATTGAGACATGCAAACTCGGCCGAGTGCCCCAATTTGCTGTACATCTCACAGGCCGCTTCAAAGGATGGCACCAGTTGGCCTGCTCCTGTGTCCTGGCATCCTTCTCGTCTTGATGGGCGGACACCATGTTGCAGTTTATCACTTTGATGATAGTACTAGTGGCTTCTGCAGGCATCGCAGCAGCAATGGCAGCAGCTGCGGTAGTAGCAATAGTGATGGTCGCCGTGCTGGTCGTCATATGATTGCAGCATCTTAGCTGTAGCCTTTGGGACCTAGGACACTCTTCCGAAGCTTTGGGACCTAGGCCAACCGTGCAAACCCGGCTCGGACCTCGGCGGTGCCTCGAGTTGGGATAGGCTGTACCAGAGGCCTGGGAGATGGGAAGTGCAAAGATTCCCAAGCTCGCAGCTCCGAACTGCAATTCGAGTCTACTAATCTTGGCGTAGCTTCGGGGCCTGTCGCCATGAAAGCTCTGCATTTGGGCCTTCTGCTGATCCGGGTTGTAGAGTGCTGGAGATTCTGGAGATTGCAATTCGCTGGGTCTCTACGCCCCAGACCTTGAAAACCCAGCCGCAAACTCCAAAAGCCCTAGATCCGTCAGCCCTAAGCCTTGAGCCACGCAGCCTGAACCTCGAGTCCCATTCTGCTGTAAAACAGATTCGGGAACCCTCAGCAATAGTGTATCTATTTCTGCGGGAGGCCACTTGGGCGTTTGAACCGCAAGTTGAAAGGCTCTAAGTTTAGGGGTTTAGCTGTAGTCGCTGGAAGCTGCAATGAGTTTGGGCAAACCTCCAACCCTGAACCCTAAGAGCAAAACCCCAAACCCTAAGCCAAAGCAGCCAAACCGAAAGCAAATCCCTAAAATCCAAACCTGAATCCCGGAGCAAAAAACCTCAACCCATAAACCCCGAAACTCTCAGACAAAGCCAAGACTCTAGGTTGCCTGTTCCCCTTCCACCGAAAGCAGTCCCAGCGAGGATAGACACAAAATTGCCTTGGTGACAGCTCCATTGGGTCTGAAGTGCATAAGATTTACGGCTTTAGGGTGTAGGGCTTAGGAATTTTAGAGCTTAAGGGTGAAAAAGTTTGGGTAGCAGTAGCAGTACTAGCTGCAGTAGCAGTACTAGCAGCAGCAGTGGTGGTGGTAGGGTAGTAGTAGTGGTAGTCGTCGTCGTCGTCATTAGTAATAGGAGTAGGAGTAGAAGTAGTCGTAGTAGTAGTCGTCGTCGTCGTCATTAGTATTAGGAGTAAGAGTAAGAGAAAGAGTAGGAATAATAGGAGTGGGAACAAGTGCAGCAGTAGCAGTAGCAGTGGCAGTAGCAGTCGCAGGAGGAGTAGGGGTAGGAGCAGGGGTAGGAGTAGGGGTGGTAGTAGCAGCAGTAGCAGCAGCAGTATTACTAGTCGTCGTCGCAGGTAGGAGTAGGAGTAGGAGTAGAGTAGGAGTAGCAACAATAATAGTACTCGTAGTAGTTGTCGCTGTAATCATCGTAGCCATACTTATAGCATTGACAGCTAAAGTAACAATAATAACCACAAGGAAAATAATCTTAGTGATCGTAATAGGAACAGTGGTGGTGATCGTACTATTAATTGGCAATGGTGTACAGAACTGGTAGTAAAAGTCGTCGTCATAGTAGTAGCAGCAGCAGCCGTCGTCGTCGTCGTCCTCGTCGTCGTCGCCGGGGCGTCGTCGTCGTCCTCCTCCTCCTCCTCGTCGTCGTCGTCGTCGTAGTAGTAGTAGGAAGCATAGCAAGAATGACAGCAACAGCACTGGTACGTGTAATGGCAGGAGGAAACGGTACTGGTAAGGGTGATGGTAATAGTACAACAAGCACTAATGATGAGAGTATTAGTAATCATAGTGGCAATGGCAATAGCAATACTAACGTGAGTTGAAACAGTAGGTTTTAATGCTGCTGGTAACCGTAGTTATAATTCATAGTCATATTCCCAATATAGTAGCCACCGTGGTACTGTTCTTGGTGTACACCTCAAGACAGGTCGAGACCCATTGGGCCGCCCACTTCATCGATCTGTCAGGCTCTCCGCAGCCAGCAAACCTTCCAGCCAGCCTCGAGAACACAGGCTGGCTGTGTTTTGTTGGGTTTCGGTTTGGGGTTTAGGGGTTCAGGGAGTTTAGGTTTAATGTGGGCCAGCGATCCTGACTGAATGTTTCATGAACTGACATCCATGCATTGGCAAACATACCGGCTGCTCTGAGAACAACAATTCAGAGCCGCGGGCTGTTCACGAACTCGGCACTCATCAGCATGTTGCCCCTGGCAGGGCCGCAAATACTTGGTCACGAAAAGCATCGCGACAATGGATGGGAAGGCAAAAAGTAGCATAGGCCTCAAGAAGCACAACAGCGTTTTTGGGGTAGTTTAACCTACACTTATAATCAGGACCCGGAAGGGAAAACTAGACCTAACTTCGAAGGTTGTATGGTAGAGCTCACAGAGCTTCGGACACTGAGACCGCGGCTCGGGCTTCTTGAGGTCCGGAAACTCCCAGAAGCCCGACATGGTCGCCTCAAGCGACGAGGCACATGAGAGTTTAGGGTTTTGGGGCTCAGGTTTTTGCAAATACATCCCAAACTAAACCGAATCTTGTAAGGTTTCTTTTAAGGTCAGTCAGGGCTAGGGCTTTGTTCTAGGGCTTCTGGCTTCAGGCGTGTTGTTGCGTAGTCAATGGAAGAATCTGAATGCCCGGATCCGAAGATCTCAAGAGGCTCTTCGTCAAAAAAAACCGGGTGCTTCATAAAAATCCTAAACCTCTAAACCTCTAAACTCCCAAACCCTAAACCCTAAATCCGAAAGTCCTAACATCTAAACCCTGAAATCCTAAAACCTGCGGCATCCCTGGGCCTGAGCTGAAAACAGACGCCAGGATGTGACGGGGGAGTCGGGGAATCGAATGAGCCGACTTTATATACAAGAGAATATGTATATATGTATATATGTATACATATATATATATACATATATATATATATATGTGTGTGTGTGTGTGTAATATTCAGTATATAATATCTAACACATGGTATAAAATAAAATATACAGCACACAATATGTTATATAATATGTAACATATAGTATATAACATGTCGTATATAATATACAGCATGAACTATGTAATATCTCATATAGTATTTGGGTGCCTTGACGTTGTGCCACGCTTTGCGGTCGAATCGGTTGTCCATGTTCTCAATGCTGGCAAGAGCAGACCTGTGCACCCGGTTCAGGGTTCAGGGTTTAGCGCTTACGTTAAAAAGTACGGTCATGCTACGATGTCGTGGCAATCCCTGTGCATGTAAAATACTTAATTCCCCCCTCAGGGCTGTCTCTGCGAAGCGAAGATGTGCAACGCGCCTCACTGGAGCCATGATCTGGGGCCTGGCCACAGCGGGCTGCACTAATCTTCATTGAAATGAGGATTCCTCTTCGGCGTGATGGCGTTGAGAACCCTACCATTTGCGGCCTACATTCAAAACCCCGGAAAGATGCTTAGAGGTACCTGCAGCTACTTGCGAGAGACAGCGACTACGGTCCACTTCAGCGACAAGAAACATGCGCCTCAGCTGCTCCTGCTGAAGCTTACCCTGGGCCAAACGGAGCTTGAATCTTTTGGTGAGTTTCGCAGAAAAAGGAGGGCTTGAAAATAGTAGGATCCTTCATCCACAGACCCCTGAAGAAGCCGAATAAGCCCTCACGATTCTTACTGTTATTACTATGATTACGATGATTACCATCACAACTACAATATCATGTTTACTCTTTCTTACTTTGCTAATTTTATTTTCTTAGCAGGTTTATTAATATCATTAATATTGTTATTGTTACCTACTTGGACTCCCTGGAACCGAGGAGTCTGAGGGAAGCACGGTGTCCTTGGCTCCGGCGACCTGGCAAGGATAGCAAAATAGGAAGTTGAGAGTTCGGGGTTTAGAAGGAAGCCTGGCGCGAACTACGATGATGATAGAAATGTACAATAGAAGTACACCAGTGTGAATTCGCAAGACCTGAATCATCTGAGAAGATAGCCTTCGTTGCTAGTTTTAACGGTCAGCAAGCAGCAGCAAAACAGGAATTGTAGCAATACCGGCCATGCTGATTAGGATGATAATCCCAATGTGTACGATATTGAATGAGATAAACATGCTCACTATCTGCAAGACAGCCCTAAAACGCCTAGAGCTCGAAGCCCTGAAGCCCTCGGCCCGAGCTTAAGCTGGTAGTAATACTCTTATTATTACTACTATTCTTGTTATTATTATTAATTATGATTATTTTTATTATTATTATTGTTATTATTACCATTGTTATTATTACTATTATTGTTATAAGAGGGCGAAAGCCCTAAGGATCCAAGGGAGCCGTTGCACTGCCTCCACGTCGAAGGTCTCTGATGGCGGAGCCTTCAAGCCAGTTAGGAACCTGACTTCTGAGGGGCTGGGTGGCCTACGGCCCTGAAAGAAAGCCTTATAGGCCTTAAACCTACAAGAACCCTAAATAAACCCTAGGGGGTTGAAGGTCCATGGATAGAGGATGCTCTGAATTTAGGGCCCGTCTTCTCTGGAGTTTGGGACGTTGGAGCTTCAGACGAGGTTCGGGCATCTTGCATGTCATGGGGAAAATGCCACGGTGCTACGAAGATCGACTCTGATGTAGACGCTTAGAAATCCTCATGTAAAGACTTTGAGTGAGTTTGACAGGATTTAGGGTCAAGGCTTGAGGCTTAGCATCATCACCGTGATCATGGCAGGGAAAGCAACAACATCAGCAATGCCTATGACAGTTTCAGTCTGAAGAATGATGTGCATCATCCGCGCCTAAGTCTTACTGCTATGCCGATTACTACTAGCACCCACTACTACTGTTGGTATTATTTTTCTCTAAGTTTTAGTGCTGTTGCCATTAGCCGTGACAGCGCACGGAGTTTTCAACCTCTCGCGCCGGCAAGCCCATCCGTAGGAGCAGCTTCCCGAAGTTTCGGTTCCGGCCCGGTGTCAGGTTTGGTCCAACCTCAAGGAGAGACCCCTCTCTTCCGTTCTACAACTAGAAGCCGCACACACTCTGTGGTCTTTGCAGAAGACGGAAGGACATGAACTGTTCAAGATCGGTCTCTGTGTATGATTCCTAGATGGAAACCTTTGTCCCTTCTTGGCGATTCGAAGGGCTCACGAATTCTACGCCTGAGTGCCAGGCGTAAAGCAGCGTCTCCCTGCAAACCACATGCAGTCCGGCTGCTCCGCTGACAAACTCGAGAACCTGGGCTGTCATCAAGTACGCAGCCATGGGTGGAGTGGCTTAGGGACGAGATTCGACTGCTGTATTGCAGCACTCGTACCCACTGAATACATCAGAGGAGTCTGTGCAAGGAGCGCTGACGGCGATGCAATTCTGCCAAAGACCCAAACCGACTGAGACTGGAGCATCCCCGCGTTTCAGGCTGACCTTCATTGAGTAATCGTGAGATAGCAGAGGAGTTACCGTAACACAGCCGAGACTAAAAACTATGTTTGCAATGATATGACCTTTCCCAGCCATAGCATCAGAGACATGGACCAGCATCCACTTAGGCTATCCTGTCACATTGCCCAAAAAGCACCAATCACACCAATAGCGATGATCATGACCATGGGGACGAAGACGAAAAGATGCATGACGAATGGAGGATGTTAGATAATACTTGATACTAGTGATATATGATGTATGTTGGATGGTGGAAGGATGGAGGGAGGGAGGCAGCGACTGAGAGGGCAGGAAGGGAGGGTGGGAGGACGGATAAAGGAACAACAAAGCGTCTGCATCCCTCTTCCACAAAAACAAACGCACAATTTCGATGCCCTGAGCCCCAAGACCGAGAATATCTAAGAGTGCTACAGTCTGTTTAATTCCCAACAGAACCTGAAGCCTCAACATTTGAGCCATCGACCCTGGTCCCTACTCAAAGCCCTGAACCCTGCATCTTCCCAGGGCCTCCTCGCCCCGCAGCGTCGTCGCGCCCGCATTCCGTTGCAGCGTGTGTCTCTGGCCCGCCCGCATCGTGAGCAGGATCTGAGACTTTCGGTGTTAAAGCACCCTTTTTCCTTTTAGGGTTTAGGCTGTTTAGGGGTTTAGGGGTTTAGGGGTTTAGGGTGCATACTTGGGCCTTAAAAGGCTTTTTGGGTAGGTACTTTCGGGGCAAGTTGTTATATACTGCATACTTGGTAGGTGTATGGAGGCATAGGTACCGGGACTGAACCTGCCGAAGCTGCGAGGTCGGATACTAAGTGAAACCCAGAGCTGGGGTTTTGCGCACCGCTACTCCATCGGAGAAGTCTGACGAGATGTCGTATCCTGTACCAGGATTAGAGCATATTTTTCCAGATCTGGGGCTGGTTTCCTAGGCCGGAACGACCCCAGCATTCCGGGCGGACAATCCCCAATGGAAAGCTGAGAAGTAGGGGACTTGGGGCTTGCATAGGGCTTGGGGCTTGGGGTTTTGGGGATCTATGGGGGTCTCGGGTTTGGGGTTTGTGTCGGATCTAGCGTGCCTGCACGGTTTTTTGGGCTTGGGAAGCACTAAACCCGAATAGAGAGTTGCTATAGGATTTTCTGGCATTGAACTGTACTATACTATACTATACTATACTAAACCAGTTCGGCTGCAGCCCAGACACCTCCTTCAGATCGGGCGACGCAGGCGAGATGCAAAGAGGCCAAAGACGTCGAAGAAGCTTCTCCTGCCAGGCGGCTGTCCACACTCCCGAGCATAAGGGCCTCAACAGTTAGAATAGGGTTCTGGGGTATAAAGTATTGAAGTTGTATTGAGAACTATAACTCGGGTTTCGGCTTCAGGGTCAGGTTGAAAGGTCGAGGAGAGGCATCGGATGTGAGGTCTCAGCTGCAGAGTCTCGGGCTTTTGGGGTAAAAGTTGTATGCTCCATGTGTCAGATGCTGATGTTCGAGCCTTTCTTGCTTTGGCTTCTCTTGCCTCGTTCCAGCAGAGCCCATACAGAGCACTATACTGTGAGGTTAATTGCTGGTGTCTGCTTCTTGGCACAACTAATACCAGGTGTTCGTTGGAACTGTTCTTGCTGTACTTGAAACTCGGCTGGCACTGTGGTTCATCGCGATTTCTGTACTGCTTGTGCTAGCACGAACCGGTAACTTTGTGTTATACTATGCTAATGCTCTTACTGGTACTGTACTATCTTGACAAACTACGCCCCTTGCTCGTGTGCAACTCAGGTGCTTGTTATCCGACTGGCCGTCTTAGCGGACGTTGCCCTCCTGCTCTTCTGTGTCTTCTACGTTGTCCCGCGTCCATACCTTCATGTCTTGCCCAGACTAGCGACGAGTTAAGCAGACCAGAATACTCAAGAATGCTCTTCTTGACTGGTCATGACAATTGCGCTTTCGTAGTTCAGTGATACTACTGCAGATCTCGCAAGCAGTAGCTTCTACACCCCCAGTGCACCTCCCTGACCAGCTCCCCTGGTGAATACGAAGTCACCGCCTGGTGGTAGTTAGGGTTCCGGGCTTCAGGGCTTTAGAGTTTAGACTTCGGGTTTTCGGGGGCTTAGGAGATGAAGCTCGAGGGTTACAAGTCGAATTCGGCAGCAGGATGCGGCGGAGTAAACAACACCTGGGGAAGGGCCCAGAAGGGCTTCTGGTTCCTCGTGCATCTCCAGGAATGGGCAGCCCAAGTTCACTGCCGATTCGGATGGTACTCCTTTAGAACCTCTGTGTAATGTCACTACCAAGATGTATAGCTGTGCGAATTCCCTAATTTGGGCACCGCAGATCTGAGTCCCCCGACTAGCAAACCTCCTCGCCGCTGAGACAGCGCGTTCAGAGTGGGGCCCCACATCTTGGCATACCTGGGGTCGAGGGTTTATAGTAGCTTTCTTCGAACTTGGCATTTAAGGCTTGGGGTGTTGGGTCTGGGATTCAGGTTTAGCGTCTGGGGTCTAGGTAAACCGAGAATGCACAACCCCTTAATGAGGGAACGCACGTCTTCTGCTCAGGAATTTGCCTCTCTTTCGGCAGATGGTTCGCAGTCGTGCTACACCCAGGCTGTCGTCGGCATATCTTGCCGGAAGGGGCCGATGAAGTAAGAAACAGACCCCGAGGTTGATAGATTGTCCAAAATCGAAGTCTCACAAGCACCAAGCCCTAATATGGTAATACGGTAGAACCCCTTGAGCAACCCCTTCAGAAACCCTTAAAGGGATATTTGAATGAACCCGAACCGTGTTCTTCATCCCCCGGTGTGCGGTGCGGCCGGGTTGCTGTGGCACACCCATCCCAGCCTTGCATGGCATCAGGCTCGAGCTCGTAAACCCGACTTTGAGAGAAAACCCTTCGGGTCAATCGCTGTACTTCTTCTCCTCCTCCTCCTCCTCCTGCAACAACTACCACTACCACTGCCACGACCACGACCACGACCACCACCGCTACCTCTACCACTACCACTATCAAGCCCTGCCGCTCCTCCTGCTGCTGCTGCTGCTGCTGCGGCTGCGGCTGCACCCCTCCTCCTCCTCCTCCTCGTACTACTACTACTACTACTACTACTACTACTACTACTGCCACCACCACAACACAGAGCAGAAGCTCAAGAGTAACCCCATGTCTCCGTCAACGAGGCGCGTTCATCGCTATGACAAGATCGGCCTTCAGCGGGAGGGCTTTAGAGTTGTATCTAGGGTTTAGGATTGAGGGATCAGGGTTTAGGTTTTCTGTTTCCACGACTTGGTGTTGAGGGATTGGGGTTTAGGGATTGAGGTGTGGAGATGTCGAGTTTTGGAGTTTGGGGCTCCATGGCGGACTGCTGCCAGTACTGCGAAGTTGGTAGCAAGTCTGACCACAGCTCCATGGCATGAGAAGAGTGTTGTATCGGCTACGGTTAAATGTCAGATTAAGGCAAATCAGATAGTCTTGAAGCAGCTTAACAAGTTTAGCAACTCGCATTCCAACATGCACCACAGCCGCAAAAGATGCATCGCTCGTGGGGAGTCAGGATAGCCCTTGCCCCAAATAGCTGCAACTCCACAACTCGTGTGGCCCAGCGAATCTGACTCGCAAGGCCGGAACATGAACCAAGCAACCTGCGATTCAATATGCGACCCAAAACGCAAGGCGCCCTCGTCAATCCAACCATTCAGCAACCAGGAGTTTTTGACATCAAAAGCCCAGGAGTAGGTTTCCGCTTCTACGGAGCCATGGCCTGCGACTCTGGGTAGAGGTCGTGGTACAGGCCTTTCCTTGCAATCTGCTCTTTTTCGGTGTTCGGGGGGTCAGAAGGCACCAAAGGACACCAGAAAAACCCATGGAAGTCTCCACTGGGGGCCTGACCGCTCACTTGCCTCCAGCATAAAGAGGATCCACACGAATAGAGCACTTCACAATGCGGTGCCATTACAGCATGTTGTTTTTCGTGACTCACAATGCAGACTCCGCACGCTTTTAACACCACTGTATCAGTCACATATTTTCGTACCACGACACCGCGCAAGCAGCTTAGTCGTTCGACTGAAGCTGCCACGTAACTGATAGCAGGAAAACCAGCACTACTGTTCACCTTACATCTGTAACCCTAAGCCATTAACCCGATCATATGGCATTTAAAAACCTCACTCTATGACGATTAACGTAATACCTATGACTACCTTGCTCCTTAAGTCTAGTACGACCATGGTGTTTATCGAGTATTGTTCTTACTATTGGGGCGAGGAGCTTCACTTCGAGAACGAGATCGCGGCCTTCCACATCCTGAACGAGCTGGTAGTCCTGTCGCTTTTTTTTTTGGGGGGGGGGGGGAGCTCTCGAAATTTCGGAGGGCTTGAGGGCTCAGGATCAAGAGTTGGTGTCGAGTTTTGGGGTTTAGGGTCTCGCGCTTCGTTGTTTAGGGTTGATATAGGAGGGTTCTGCTGGAGCTAGCTACGTTGTAAAACTCTTGCAAAAGGTCTTGAACCCCTCTAACCGAACGACAAGGCCCTACACTTGAACAACCCGGGACTGTAAGCGCATAGCCGCTTTCAGAAACCTACAACCCTAGTTCCGAAAACCTGAACCCTAACTCCTGCAATAGTTACCACAATCATTCCTTTCGGTTCCTTATTAGCAATATACTATGCTTTATCCCAGAACCCGGTTCGAACTGCGAGGGCAACCTCAAACCCAAGGCCCCTCCGGGCGGGGGGGGCCTTTGGCACTTCTGGGCCGCACATTCCTCAGCTGAGGGGCACCGAGTTTAGGGTTTGGTTTAAGGTTTAGCCCTTTCGGACTTGGGAGACATGGGTTTATGTAGGGCGCAAACGACGTGGAGTGGACCTATGTTTGGTTTATTCAGGGCGCTAGGGTTTCAGAAGGGTTTAGGGGTTATTGTTTTGCATCGTCCAGCCGTCAGGCCTTGGCATGCGGGGCCGAAGGTCTTCTAGTGTTGATGTCATTGGCTGGTGTTTGCTCAAGTTTCTGGACTTCGCGATTATAGATAGTTGCCCAAAGTTCTGGGACGGCTGTTCTTGTCTGCTATTGCTGCTTCAGCGAGCATCTTCATCCATCCATGCAGCATAAGCAACACTCCACCGAGGCCTGTTTTGTCAAGTTCCAGGCAGCCCCCAATCCCTGCAGCAAGCTAGCCGGATAAGCTAGCCGGATAAAGATTCCCGGTGCCAATGCCAAGCTTTCTGAGTCTTAAACTTCCGAAGACCAGGCTCTATATGCTCCTTGCGAGGACATTGGCCGCAGACTTTGCGACCACAAGAGAGTTCAAAGGGACTACGCAGCAATGAGACAGGAAGATGCACCTCATGATCCAGGAATAATGGAACGAGCCCACATTCCAGCGTTGTAACTGTGAAAGGGATACCGTATTCCGAGCCCTCACTCCTAAACCCTGAACCCTAGCAACGACACCTTACGCTAAGCGCTGAGCGCCCTAACTCTAAACCTAAAACGGGGGGGTATATAAAGCCTTCTTCGTTTATTACAGACAAGGCTCGGACCACCAGTGTTTTCAGGCCTTGAGCTGCGGCTCTCGTCAATACCGTTCATAGGGTCCTATGGCTAGGCTTCCTTTAGGGGTCCCTCTCAGGGTCGCTTCTGCCGTTGATGCCCAAAATCCTCCATGACCTGTCCACTCACCCGCAACCCCTTAATTTCAATGTTGCGGCCTGATGGGGGTCATGCAAGATTTACGGCATTCGCGCAGGCCCTTTTTCCAACCCCTCCGTCAAAGCAATTATAAGATTAGGGGTAGCAGGGGAATCGCGGAGGGGTTCAAAGTCATGCAGGGCTACAACGGGGGTTTAGGGACTGGGTTGTAGAGTTCAGGCTAGTAGTTAACCTTATTAAGCTTGACTGGGCGATGGTCGTTGGTGATGGTTGACAGCGGTAGTCGGAAAGCATGACGATGAATTAATTGGTAGAGTAGCATTGGTAGCAAAGGCAACGGCAAAAGTGGTGGTGGTAGTAGTAGTAGTAGCAGCAGCAGCAGCAGCAGCAGCAGTAGTGGGACTAGTACTAGTACTAGTACTAGTACTAGTACTAGTACTAGCGGTAGT